TTTTTTTTTCAACTTCGTCTTTTTTTTTTCTTTTGTGGTACTCTTTAGTAGAGAACCCGTGTCATTCTTTAAAGCGAGATTTGAATTTCTCAATTATGCATAAATTACATTTCACCCAAAACAAACAAAGGTGCCCCCAAACACCGGCACTGCACACCCAGGAGCATGCGGCAATATAGGCGTGAACGTTTGCACACGAGTGTTTTTCGGATTTGGCGTTCAGCTCAGCCTTAGCGTTTGGAACTGGGTTGACAGGTCTTTATGACTTAGATGAGTCCATGTTATTTTCAGTGCTTGGGTTTGTCTGCTTTGAGTTGGAAGTCATTCCGAAGTTAAGGTGGCCGTCCCATAAACAATCGTAATGAAACCGTTCTGCACTCGATCTTGTCACTTGGAATCTTTTGGATGAGGCTGATTTTATTTTAAAGAGTTTGATGAGGACAACTGGCAGGGGTCTTGGTGGCATAGTGGTTAAAGTGCTTGCTGCTTGCCCAGAGGTCATGGGTTCTAACCAGCTAGCTGCTCTGCAGCAGAAAGAGGCGGCAGGCAACTTCCATTAAAATCCTAAGCTTGGAAACCCTAGAGCAGGGGTTCTTAACCTTAGGGTCTTGACCCCTTTGAGAGTTGAATGACCCTTTCCCAGGGGTCGCCGGATTCATCACAGTAGCAAAATGACAGTGATGAAGTAGCAACGAAAATAATGTTGTGGTTGGGAGTCCCCACCACATGAGGAACTGTATGAAAGGGTCGCGGCATGAGGAAGATGGAGAACCACTGCCTTAGAGAGTGGGTTCTGCTCCGTCCAGTAGGATCACAATGAGTTGGAATCGACTCTCCAGCAATGGATTTCTTTTTTTCTTTCCGATGCTAACTGAAAAAAGGACTAGGCAACAAGGAAGAGTATCAGCATGATAGCTGAACCCTGATAAGGATTGTCTTTGTTGTCTGTATAAGTACCCGCAGTGTGACCAAGGTCCTTGAATGCAGGCAGGGGTGATGAGTTTAAAAAGAGGTGTTTCCAAACCAGTTAGGTTGATTTATATGAAATTCATTGCCGTCTTTCAAAATGTTGTCTCCAGTTCCTTCTTTCCTTGCCTGTTTGAAGTTGAACTTCCTGCGACATGGTTAATTCACTTTGGGTCTTGACTTCCTCTAACGGCACCTTCTTTACTTCTCCATTGGGTGATACAGGGCCAAGGAGAGCCACCCTCAGTTCTGCCTTTGTATTTCTGCCCCATTGTGTGCATTTTGGAACAGCTTCTCCTCTATTGTGTCATGTTTTTTTTTTTTTTTTGGTTGTCTCCCATGCCTAATCTAGAGAGACTTGAGTCACTTCCTTCCTGTTTTGAGTATAATTAGGCTACCTTGAAGTGCTCTGTGACTTCGAGCAGCTAGGAACAGGCTCTGCATTTTCTGCAAAGCCTTTATGAAAGGGTAGCCTTGAAGGTTAGCGCACTCCTTGGGCATTTGATGTGAAATACTAGGTGCCCTTCTCCAAGGAGCCCTGGTGGCACCGTGGATCAGGCGTTGGGCTGCTAACCACAGGGTCAGCAGATGAGCCCTACCAGCTGCTCCCATGAAGAGGCACAGCCTCAGAAACCCACAAGTAGGCAGTTCTTAAAAAAAGTGGGCCGTTCTGCCCTGTCCGCAATGTCACTAGGAGTCAGAATGGATGTGACGGCTATGAGTTTTGTTTTCTTTTCTGAAAGGCCCTCTCCCCAGAAAATGGCCATGCACGTACTCTCACGCAAAATTTCGCTCGAATTTGCTCCTGGAGGCCACAGACACTTCTGAAGTTTCTCTGGGCAGGGAAGGGGGAGGGGGTGTCCATGGAGCCCAGGGTAAGAAGCCCCACCACACAACATCCAAACAAACTTGAAGACTCTGCCTAACCTTAGGAGTACAAACTCATTTTTATTTTACTGCGTGACATTCTGCTACCCTCTCCATGGGATTCTGACTCATGGTGTGAAATGGCTAATCGAGAGAACCTTGCATTACCAGTGTTCAGATCCTTGCTGTCTTATCCCTGTCCCATTCCCTCTCTGAATCCCCGTGATCTCTGGATGATATTTGAAAAGCAAAGCTATGCGTCAAAACAAATGACAAAAAGCAAGCTATGTTGCTGCATATCCTTTTAGGGATCCTATTGAGAGGGTAGTGGTTATGCATTGGGCTGCTAACCACAAGGACAACAGTTTGAAACCACCAGCTGCTCCTTAAGAGAAAGAGGAGGCTTTCTACTCGCATAAAGAGTTACAGACTCAGAAACTCACAGGGCTGGTTCTACCCAGCCCCACAGGGTTGCTGTGAGTTGGAGTCTTTGGATCTTGATGTCTAAGGATCCTTGATCTTGGGTAAACTAGATCTGAGAGCGCTACACTTGGTCGACTTGGTCTGCCTCTTTGGTGAAGTAGCAGATATTTAATCATGATGGTTTCTCCTTCAGCATTTCACTTGTTCATTTGTATGAATACAGTTCCTTTTGACCCTGTATGTTCAATTACCTGCAAAATCCGCTGAGCTTTCGCTAAGCGAGGATGTTGCAGTTGTTGATGTTAGGTCCCATAGAGCCCATTCTGACTCATGGCGATCCTGTGAACAACTGAGTGAAACATTGTCAGGTCTTGCGCCATGCTCACAATTATGCTTAAACCCATTGTTGCAGCCACTCTGTCAATCCATCCTGATGAGGGTCTTCCTCTCTGTCGCTGCCCTTCTACTTTACCAAGCACGATGTCCTTCTCGAGGGATTGGTCTCTCCTGACAACACGTCCAAAGTGCTTGAGATAGAATCTTGCTGTCCTTATCTCTAAGGAGCAAGAGCAGTATTCATGTAAAGTCTTGGATGGATTAAGTCTTTCCTATAAGAAACCTTTTTTTAGTTCATCATGAATTTCAGTGGACTGTTGAACTATCTGAACAGTGCTTAGAGAGTAATGCACAAAAGACAGAGCAGATAACGTTACCGAGCACTTACTATATGTAGGGACTTGACTTTCTCTGGATATCCCCAGTCCCCTGAGGGGTGTTGGACCCACTTGATGCCTGGTGAGAACATGCAGGAGTTTCTTGACTGTGACCACAGGGTGCGAAGTGACAGTATGGGGACTCAAACTCTGGACTGTGTGTCTCCAGAGCCAACCCTCTTAACCGCCACACTCTCTGACTCCCGGGATCTGCCTTGGATTATAGTCCCCTAACTCTTCATTATATGGTTCGAAAAGGGTTGAGTAAACTGTCAGAAATGGTAAAGATGGTGTACATGCATTTTAGAGATTTTTGTGGACATTGAAGAATTTGAAAGCATAACCCTTAGACCACTCCGCCTGAGTGGCATCTATTGTCACCCAGTTGTGAGCCTGATGAAATGACGAAGGTTTTCCTTACTTTGGGTTTCAAAGGGTGCAGTGCACTCGCCCAGCTCCATCTTGCTTGCCAAGTGCGGATTCGTCCCTGGGCCAGAGGGTGTTTATTGAAGCGCTGTGCGACTTTTGGGAAGAAAAATATGGTTCACACATCAAAACAAACCCAAACCCTGTGTTTCTCTTTCACATCTTTGCGTCTGGGAGCGGCTGTGACTGATTTGGGTTGCTGAGATCCATTGGAAGGCTGGACTCAGTGGGTCAGGTCCCTTTGTTAGAACAACTCGTGGGTATCAGTTTGCCCTCAATTGCTGACTGAAATGAAGGTTGGCAGCACCACGGGGCTAGCTAGACCTGGCCATTTGCTTCTGTTCAGATACAGCCAAGGAGACCTCTCAGTGGGGCAGTTCTACTCTGTAACATCGGGGGTCCCCTTGATTCGGAACTGACTGGATAGCAAGAGCAACACTGGGTCTCGAGGTATGTCCCAATTTGTCCTCAGGACCACCACAGTTGACTGGCTTTTTTGTCCTGGCATGGGCCACCTTCTGCAGAGCACACAGGCATGTAGATTTGCAGCAGGCGAATCGCAGTGATTTTCACCATTTACTTGAGAGGCTATATTGGTAAGTTGCTGTCAAGTAGCCTTGGTGTGGTGTTATGCATTGGGCTGCTCACTGTGAGCAGTTCTAATCCACCAGCCGCTCCAAGGGAGACAGAGGAGGCTTTCTATTCCTGTAAAGAGTTACCATCTCAGAAACCACAAGGGCAGCTCTACCCTGTACTACAGGGTTGCCGTGAGTCGGAATGGCAGTGAGTGAGTGAGAATTCACTGCCAGGATGGTGTTCATCTGGACGTCTGTAGAGCTGGGTCTGAAATGATCTCTCTGTATCCCTTCATGTGTTTCTCTCACATGGAATGAAAGAGAGCAGCCATCGTGAAAGGAGAGAGCCACATCAGGGCTACAGGCTGTGGCCCAGAACCAGAAAGGTGATCACTGATAGCTGCCTAGTGTCAATTAACGTTGTGCTTCATCAGCCAACACAGACAGTAGTAGCTGAGAGGATCGCTAGCTGGATCTACTGACTAGCATCTACTGAAACCAACAAAAATGTATTTTTCATTTGTCTTTTCCCAAACCCAAACCTCAGTCATGTTTTGCCATTTCGTGGTGTTGGAACTAGCTGGTATCCTCACCACTGAGATTTCGCTCTTCTTTCCAGATCCTTCCTGGGCGTCAGTAAACAGAGGGACTTTTATATGTGACGAATGCTGCAGTGTCCATCGGAGTCTGGGGCGCCACATCTCCCAAGTCAGGCACCTCAAGCACACACCCTGGCCCCCGACGTTGTTGCAGGTAAAGAGGGAGGATTCTTCTCACCGGCTGGGCTTGAAGCTTGAAAGGCTAGTGGCTTTAACAACTAGAACTCCTCCCAGTGTATGTTCATCTTACACCTTTTTGTTTTTGTTTTCTGATTCAATCATTCTTTATTGGTTAACTAGATTACCTCAACTCTCCAGGGGTGTAATTTTCTTTCTTTCTTTCTTTTTAATCATTTTATTGGGGGCTCATACAACTCTTATCACAATCCATACATACACCAATTGTGTAAAGCACATTTGTACATTCGTTGCCCTCAACATTCTCAAAACATTTGCTCTCCACTTAAGTCCTTGGCATCAGCTCCTCATTTTTCCCCCTCCCTCCCTGCTCTCCCCTTTCTCACGAACCCTTGATAATTTATAAATTATTATTTTGTCATATCTTACACTGTCTGACGTCTCCCTTCACCCACTTTTCTGTTATATGTAGATCCTTGTAATCAGTTCCCCCTTTCCACCCCACCCTCTCTCCACCCTCCCAGTATAGCCACTCTCAGCACTGGTCCTGAAGGGGTCATCTGTCCTGGATTTCCTGTGTTTCCAGTTCTTATCTGTACCAGTGTACATCCTCTGGTCTAGCCAGATTTGTAGGGTAGAATTGGGATCATGATAGTGGGGAGGGGGGGAGCATTAAAGAGCTAGAGGAAAGTTATGTTTCATCGTTGCTACACTGCACTCTGACTGGCTCGTATCCTCCCTGTCGTCTTACACCTTTCGAAAGGATTTGAACTGTAATTTAACAGAGGGACTGTTTTCATCAATGCTAAATATGTAAATATTATCTGTATAGAATTCATCATTTATCCCCTCCCACCTGATACACACACACTTAACACAAATCTTCTCCCCAAACTCAGTCATATTTATGTCTGTGGATAGTCTTTAAAATGCCTGGGTTTTGTTTCCCTGGTGGTTTTTAAAGTCCATCTTTTCCATTTAACATTGACGCTACGACCTTGGAAAGTTTTTATTAATGCACTTCTTCCAGAGGGCCTTCTAATAATGGTAGGACTTTTATTCTGCTTTGAAAGAAACATGGGGGTGGGGGGGGAATGAGCTGATACCAAGGGCTCAAGTAGAAAGAAAATGTTTTGAGAATGATGATGGCAACAAATGTGCTTGACACGATGGATGGATGGATTGTGATAAGAGCTGTAAGAGCCCCCAATAAAATGATTTTTTTTTTAATGAGAAAGAAACATGAGCTGGAATTCCTCAAAATTTTCTGGAAGTTTGGGTGTTTTTGTTTATTTGTTTGTTTCATTTTTTCAAGTTCTTGTAAGGAGCCCTGGTAGTGTAGTGGTGAAGAGCTCGGCTGCCAGTGGAAAGGTTGGCAGTTTGAACCCACCAGCCACTCTGCGGGAGAGAGGTGTGGCCGTCCTCTTCTGTAAAGACTTACTATGACCTTGTGCCCCTCTGTCCTGCAGGGTTGCTCTGAGTCCAAGTGGACTCGGTGGCACTGGCTAAAGTTCTTGTTACCAGTCAGGGACCAAATTAACATGTTCCCATGCTGAGTGGGCTTAAAGAAAAAAAATGGGGAGTTTAGTGACCTGTCCCTCTCTTTCTTTTTGGGGCACATGGTTTTTAAGTTTTACTGGAACTCAGAATTAAGCACGTATTTTACCTTCTTTTCTTTTTTAGGTCTTAAGTACACATTTTATTAAATCTATGCAACACATGTTCCTAAAACTTGTCCCTATGAACCAAGGGACCAGAACGAGAATGGGTTTGGATCACTGATGTGAACATATTCCCACTGATGTAAAAAACAGATGGGGCCAGGCTGCCAGGTTAGGAATCATCCTTTGAAATGGATTGGGAGATACAGTCTATTAATAGGAGAGGGCCTTCCAAGAGCTTGTGGGAAAATTCCGTTATCTTTTCATTCCAGTTTCCCGACAAACCTTTTGAAGCCCCCTGGAAACTTTTGGTTAGACTTTTTTTTTTTTAATTAATAAATTATTATTATTTTGTCATATGTTTGTTAAACTTTTTGAATGCTTCATTCTCCAGTACAGAGAGCTGTTGCTCTCAGGTTTGTGTTAATACAGCTGACTGATCTAACTGGCTCTGAGGGAAGCCCGAGATGAGTGGTGTACATTGCCAGGCTTACCCTCCAAACAGCAAGTGTCAGGCTCTGGATGGTTCGTGAGCTCGCCGTGGTGCTGGAGAGGGATGCGGATAATATGCAAATATTAAAGTTGTTTGTTATTAATGTGCATAAGAAAACTATTAATTAGCATATCCAAGCTTAATTGTTGGTAAAAATCTTGAAAAATGAGTGGATTTCAAGGAAAATATTGAGTGAAGAGCAGTCCTTAACAACCTCGAAGAGTATTTGACTGACCCTGCTGCGTAGGACCACTGCCTTAAAGGGACCAAGTACTCTTCTTGGGTAAAGAAACCAAACTCCCTGCCATTGAGTTGATTCCGACTCGCAGCAACAGAGCAGGACTGCTCCGTCTGTAGTTCTGAGGCGCTGGTGACAAGGACAGGTAAACGGAAGACCCTCGAGGAGGTGGCTTGATGCAGTAGCTGCAAATGGACTCAAGCAAAACAAGCGTGTGAACCAGGGATGGTGTCCATGGCAGGTACTGGGCAGTGTTGCCTTGTGTTCCACGCGGGGTCACTGTGAGTTGGAACGGACTCAACAGCACCTAACAACGACAACAAACTCTTTTCCGAAGCAGACTGCCACGTCGTTCTCCCTCTTTCTCAAGGACTGACGGGTAACTTTGAATCACTGGCCTTTCAGTAGTAGTTGAGCACTTAACTAGTACACTATGGGGCTCTTTCTGGTAACCTATACCTGTTGCCATCAAGTTCATCTGGCTCAGAGCAATCCTATGAGTTAGAACTTAGGACTTCTAAGGCTGTAAGGCTTGATGGTGTAGTGGCAGCTAACTGGCAGGTCAGCTGTTCGAATCCACCAGCCACTCCTTGGGAGAAGGTTATAACAGTCGTCTTCTGTAAAGATTACAGCCTTGAAAAATAAAACAGACTATAACCAAATGGTGGCAAAGGTGCAGAGACTAGAACCGTCATACCCTGTCAGGAGGTCAGTAAAACAATGCATCCACCACAGAAAACGGTGTCATGCTTCCTAAGAAAACCGGAAATAGAAATGCCATGTGGTCCAATAATCCCACTCCTGGGTATAATAAGACCCATGGCACAAATAGATAGGTTAGCAGCCATGTTCATTACAGTGCTATTCACTGTAGCAAGAAGATGGCAGCCCATCAATGGAAGAATGTGTAAACTACCTGTGATGCATACATACAATGGAACATTACAGAACAGTCAGTGATAATGACGAATATCCGAAAAACCTCATAACGTTCAGGAGCCTGGAAAATATTATGCTAAGTAAGATTAGTCACGAAAGGACAAATATTGTATAAGTCCACTGTTACAAAAAGGAAGGGGAAGACAATATAGAACAAGAAGGTAAGGAGTAAATGATGGAGGCAGGGAGGTTTGCAGACGTTCAAGACAGCAGAGGCAAATCCTGTTATATACACAATCCTGCAACGGTGGTGGTCTGCAAGTGAGTGCTGAGTTTGAGCAAGCTGAACAGGTGTGGTAGGGAGAGGAAGTATTCACACACACACACTATATATATATATATTTGATAGAGTCTATCTGTATATATGTGTTTTGATAGAGCCTATCTGTATATATGTGTTTACCTCTGCTGCAAATAAATCCATCGATGTGGTAGAGCATACAAGGGGCAGAGTTATGGAAACGTCTTAGACCTAGCCAAATCCCTTGAGGAAATGAGTCATTGGGCTTGGGAGCCCGGGACCCTTATCTCAAGGGATACCAAGGTCAGTTGGCATCACAGAGTGCACAGCCATAAGGTTCTTCATCATACTGACGAGCGTCTTAAAGCTGGTGAGTAGCCATTGGAGATGCAGCTGTTGGTTTCTCTCTGGCTGGTAGAAAGGAGAGTGAGGAAGATTGAAGGCACCAGGAAACAATCAGTCCAGTGGATGATGGCCCTGCAGACCTTAGTCTTCTTGATCCCAAGACCAGTAGAAATCAGTGGTGCCCAGCGACCACCAGCAGCTGCTCGGAAAGGGATCCCATGAGAAGATCTGGAGAGAGTGGGAACAAGCCTCAACATGATTTTTTTAAAAGGCCAGGCTTACTGGTTGGATAGAGAACCCTGAGGCTATGGTCATTAGCCACCTTTCTGGTCTCAAACTGAACTCTTGCCCCCACGACTCAGTTTTCAGGCAAACAGCAGCCAGGCCTGTAAAGGGAACCATAACACTAGGGAGGTATGCACTCCTTAGAAGCATCAGCCATTTGAGATGCAAAGGGCAGCACTGACCCAAGAACAGAGTTCAGAGGGTTAGGGAAGGAGGAGCGAAGGGAAGAGGAAACAGGGAGGAAGTGGGAGAAGTGATGTTTCATTGTGGGGAGGTGAGGGAGTTAGTTTATTGTGCCAATCTGGCCGATAAACACGTGGGGTTACTTGAAGGGCGGAGGGATAAATGGCTTGGTGAGCCTCACCTTTCTAGTTCTTGGGTTTCTTGATTTCTGATGATCAGACCAGGGTGCAGCTGCCTTAGCCAGTTCCTTGCTTTAGCTGGCAAGGCTCACTTCCTGCAAGACATCCCTGAGGAGAAGCCACACGGACCTACCCCGATGCAGCCCTGGGTGCTGGAGCAGCCGTGTGGAGACCCCTGCCAGTGCTGAGATGCTTACACGTTCACTGACTCAGCTTTCCTCCTGCAGTCGGCATCATTGCATGCATTTTGTGAGATGGAGGAAGACTTTGTGGATTGGTGTCAGACATATGGTTTAACAGTGAACTTGTGGGCTTGGGCAGCACTGGGTTGGGATGTTTACTTGATGTGCACTTACCTTTGTATAAAACTCTCATACATGATTTTCTGTGGCTATGTTTCTCTAAAGTACCCAGACTAATACAGGAGGAATTGCGATCAATGACCTGGACAGCAAGTGTGTGATGGGTCGAATGGAAAACAATCTGCTCTGTCAACCTTCACCTCATTCACAATGAAAAGCACAATAAATAAACGCTATAAAATGTGGAAGGGGAAAAAAGGAATACAGCCTTAGACACCCTATGGAAAGCCCTGCCCTCGCGTGTTACTGGGTCAGAACTGTCTGGCCACCGTCCTCGGACAGCAGCAGTCTGTATGGAAGCAGCCTGCCACAGGTGTCCTCTCAGCCCAGCCTGTTGAGGTGGTCACGCCTGTCAGTGGCAAACAAGTTCTTCCTATTTCTAAAATTAACAAACAATGATCTGACCGAAATCCCTGGTACCTTGGGAGGCGTATGGTCGGGGTCGCCTTATTTGCCCAGCCCAGCCTCTGGTTCCTGTGGAATGTTTACGGAAGGAAATTACAAGGCTCTTCTCCTGCTTGGTTTTAGATGGTGGAAACCTTGTATAATAACGGTGCTAATTCCATATGGGAGCATTCTCTGCTGGACCCTGCCTCTATTATGAGCGGAAGACGGAAAGCTAACCCCCAGGATAAAGTACAGTGAGTGACAACTTTATAAATACTAGGATTTATTCATAACGAATGGAGCCCACAGAGAGGCGTGCTACCTGTTTTTGCCTGGCCTGCCCAAGGGGCATCATGGGCCATGGTGGCCCGAAGTATGCATTACACACGTGGCTGCAGCAACTCCCGGGGAAGGCAGGACCACACTGCCTCCCCCCCCCCATTACCTCACACGATCGTATGGGGTTTCCAGTTCAAACCAAAGGCTTGAAGGCTGTTGGTGGAGTTTTAAATGTAGGTACTCAGAACAGAGAAAGGCCAGAAATATGGGTTCTTGGCCCCAGTTTGCTTGAGGCCTCCCCTGGGGAAGAAGGCTAAATGCTACTTCCTCATCAACTTCCTGGTCAGTGAAGGGAATTCCACAGAGAGGAACAGGGCTGTACAAAGTGGGTCTCCTGCAGCCCTGGCCCTTGTCCTGACTAAGGTGCCCCCAGACTCCAGGTCTTTAAGTAGCAGTACACAAGTGACTTCAGCATCATTCAGTTGGTTGCAGAGGTGGAAACGCGGGTCGCTGCCTTCTCTTTCTGCAGCATACACAACGGGGCATGGCAGACCCAAACTCCAAGTCAACAGTTGTCCTTTTCTCTTTTTTGGTTTCGAACCAGTCCCAATAAAGCAGAATTCATCCGAGCCAAGTATCAGATGTTAGCCTATGTCCATCGCTTGCCCTGCCGGGATGACGACAGTGTAACTGCCAAAGACCTCAGCAAGGTGGGTCGAACCTTTTAAAGCCCTCTAAGAGAGCCCGGTGAGTCAGCTTCCTTGTGCGTTTTGATGGTTGGGGGTGGGGTGGGGTGCAGAACATCTTTTATGAGAAAAGGAAAACCTCCTCTCTGTATATTGAGAAATAATAAAGGAAGTGGGAGACATGGTCGTTCCTTGTGAGCAGGAATCGCAGCCTTCTCTGTGGTTTACTTCAATCTTTGACCTTAATTCAGATGGTGGGCATTCCTGTTAGCAGCAGGGTAAGGTAGAGAGAAGCAAGAAGTAGCCTGAAAACGATCTGTGTTTTTTCGGGTTTTTGAAAGTCAACTTCTCAAAATGCTTTGTTGAACCTTGAAATGGGAACCCACTTGGAGTTTCTAAGCCCGGGCTGGCGGGGGACTAGGTAATTTGTGGGGCCAGTGTCTGTCTCTTGAACAGACCAGGAAAGGTAGCAGGGCGAGACCCCACTTGTTCAGCTCACTTCCCCTTGCCTGCTGAGTGGGCACTTCAGACAGCAAGGCTTGACTACAAAGCTGGAGGCTGAAAGGGAGACAGTGGTCGGTGTAAGATATGAAAATAATAATTTATAATTTATCAGGGGGTCACAAGGGTGGGAGGATGGTGGCAGGCGAGGAAAACAGAGAAGCTGATATTAAGGACTTAAACAGAATGTAAATGCTTAGAAAATGATGGCAACATACGTACAAATAGGCTTGATACAATTGATGTATAGATTGTTATAAGAGTTGTAAGAGCCCCAATAAAATGAGGGAAAAAAGCTGAAGAGTGAGTGGAATTCGAGATGCTTGTAAGATGAGTATTCCAGTCTCTCAGTGTATGGCTCACCTATGTTTTGAGACCTGCCCGAGCCATGTACACCTTTATGTCCTAAAGCGCCGCCTTGAATCAAATGCTTGTGCAGAGTGCTGGCACTCCAGTGCAGTTTCCCGCCATGTGTGGAAATGAGTGTAACGGTTACTTCCGTTCATTGAAAAGACTTGGGTGCAGGTGTGAGAGCGGCTCCTCCAGCCCCGTTTGCGTTGCCTTGTAGAGCACGCGAGGCGAGGCGACGTGGGAGGAAGCCTCTGATGGCTGTTTGAATGCATCAGAGCTGTTCAGCTGCACTTGAGAGATTTGCTGTACCATGGGCCCGTTTCCCACCCTGAGAGCCTTCATGAAAGCATTATGCACAGGCCAAGAACCGGGCTGTGGGGAGGATGTGGCATCAAGCAGAATCCTGTCGCTCCCTCAGTACTAACCCGAAACCCCAACACCCTCAGTGCCAACAGCTCATTGTAACAGCTGCTGTAGTTGGCAAGCGTTTGTGCAGCAGGCTCAGCGCTAGGCCGATGACTGCATCATGCCATGGACTCCTCACGCCAGCCCTGTGGGTCAGTGGCTTGAAAGAGAGCTTCCAGGTGGGTCCTCAAGCTCACACAGCTTCGAAGGGGGCTGGCATGAAAGCCAGGTCTGCTAGACTTCAGAGCCATGCCCAGCCACTTCTTCTCTATTCCTGTCCTGGCTGTACCACTGGGTCAAGGGGGGCATTTGGGCAGGTCAGCATCGCAGCCCTGATCACTGTATATGTGACAGGCCAGGACCTGCCTTACTGCCCAGGAGAAACCATACTAGGCCAAATAAGCACCATTTCTTCTTCCTTTTTAAATCATTTTATTGAGGGCTTTTACAACTCTTATAGGAATCCATACCTCACTTGTATCAGTCACATTTGTGCATATGTTGCCATCATCATTTTCAAAACATTTTCTTTCTACTTGAGCCCTTGTATCAGCTCCTCTTCCCCCCCTCCCACCTTTGCCCTTGATGAATTACAAATAATTATTATTTTCTTATCTTAGACCCCCCGCTGTTTCGATTCACCCACATTTCTGTTGTTCATTCCCCCAGGGGGCAGGCAGTAATCCATTGATCATTACTACCCGCTCCCCCTCCCCCCCACCTTTCCCCTTACCCTCATGGTATCGCTACTTCTATTACTGCTCTTGAGGGGTTTATCTGTCCTGGATTCCATGTGTCTAGAGCTCTTATCTGTGCCAGTGTACATGCTCCAGTCTAGCCGGATTTGTAAGGAACTGGGTCATGATAGTGGGTGGCTGGGGGGTGGAGGGGTAAGTATCAAAGAACTAGAGGAATGTTGTGTGTTTCGTTGGTGCTATACTGCACGCTGGCTGACTCGTTCCTTCCTTGTGACCCTTCTGTGCAGGGATGAAGGACAACTTCTTACTGGTGACCCTGGTACTAAAATGATCCACCAGCTGCTTCAGTACATCATCAGTTTTTGTGCTCTGAAACCAATACTCTTTCCGGGTTTTTTGTGTGTCTTTCAGCAACTCCATTCCAGCGTGAGAACGGGGAATCTTGAAACCTGTTTGAGGCTGTTATCTTTAGGAGCACAAGCCAACTTCTTTCACCCTGTAAGAAAGCCTGGGTCGATTGAGATCTTAGACTGTGATGAAATTGCTTGTGTCCACATAGGCTGTAACTAATCGGCCGTTTGTCTGCGTTTCTGTAATGATGCTTAGGAAAAAGGGAACACCCCGCTCCACGTTGCCTCCAAAGCCGGGCAGGTTTTACAGGCCGAATTGTTGGCGGTGTATGGAGCAGATCCAGGCACACAGGACTCCAGTGGGAAAACGCCCATGGACTATGCAAGGTAGGAGAGCCAGATCCTTGCCACTGCCCTCTGTGAGACCCCTTATGTTGGTGCGGTTCATTGTCAAGGAGCTTTAGCACTGAACCCTCTGAAGGTTTACTTTCTGTTATGATGGTGATGAGAGGAGCCCGCGTGGTGTTCGTGGTTACCGTTGAACTGCAAACCTCACGGTCAGCAGTCCGAAACCACCGGCCTGCTCCCCACGGAGAAAGATGAGGTAGGTTTCTACTACCCAAAGAATTACTGTCTCGGAAACTCGCAGGGGCCATTCCACCTTGTCTTTTTTTTTTTTTAAACATTTTATTAGGGGCTCACACAACTCCCATCACAATCCATACACACATCAATTGTGTAAAGCGCATTTGTACTTCTTGTCAAAACATTTTCTCTCCACCCAAACCCCCGACATTAGGTCCTCATTTTTCCCCTCCCTCCCCGCTCCCCCCTCCTTCATGAGCCCTTGATAGTTTATAAATTGGTATTTTGTCATATCTTGCCCTGTCCGACGTCTTCCCTCACCCACTCTTCTGTTGTCTGTCCCCCAGGGAGGAGGTCACACACAGTTCCTTGTAATCGGTTCCCTCCTTCCTACCCACTCTCCCTTCACCCTCCCTGTTTTGCCACTCACACCACTGGTCCTGTAGGGATCATCTGCCCTGGATTCCTTGTATTTTCAGTTCCTATCTGTACCAGTGTCCCTCCTCTGGTCTAGCCAGACTTGCAAGGTCGGATTCGAGTCATGGTAGTGGGAGTGGGAGGAAACATTTAGGAACTAGAGGAAAGTCGCATTTCTCATCGTTGTTACATCGCCACCTTGTCTTATAAGGTGGCTCTGAGTCAGAATTGACTCCATGAGGGTTTTTGGTTGGTTTCTGGTGTATTATGCTGGTGAAGACGTTTCAGACATGTACCAGCAGAGCCTGGCAAAATGAACACAGGGGAGAGTTATAAACCAGTATGCTCAGCTTCTAAGCTTTTACCCATCGCCAACTGGTACACCGTTGGATTGACACAGGGGCCACAAGAATGGGCTCGAACATCACAATGTTTGTTTTTTCTTTTCTTTTTCTGGAAATTTTGTATTTTAAAAAAAAAAAATTAATTGTTCTATTAGGGGCTCATACAACTCATCACAATCCATACATACATCAATTGTGTAAAGTACATTTGTATATTCATTGCCCTTATCATTCTCAAAATATTTGCTCTCCACCTAACCCCCCGAACATCACAATGTTGAGGATGGCTCAGAACTGGGCAATGTTTTGTTCGGTTCTACGTGCGGCTGCTAGGAGTCAGGACTGACTGGATGGCACCTAACGACGACTACTCTAGGTTTTCTTTGCGGAAGCAGACTACCGCATCTTTCTCCTGCACAGAGGCTGGTGGGGCTGAACCACTGGGCCACCATGCTCCCCCCGTCTTTTTCTTGATCCTTCCCCACACGTCAGCATTTGAGTCAGGGTCACAGCTCAAATCACGTATGGAGAATTGCAGAAACTCACCCTTCCATTTTTAAATACTCTCCCCTTCTTCGTGACTTAAAATTAAAGTTGAATCTAGATAGTTTGCCAAGTGACCTTGTGGGGCACTGGAACCATCCGGGAGGGCGGTGGGGGGGTGCTGTGGGGGGGGTGGTGGTGTGTGTGCACTAAAAGAAGATACCTCCACTTCATCCCTGCTGATGGGTTGTAGTACACAAGGTTTTCATTGCCCGGGGCCACTGAGTCATTCTTTTTCCGGCAGTAGGCCCCATCAGTTTGGGAAACAGTGGTAGAATGCCAAGTGTACATCTCAGGTACTGGACAGTGAGGTGCTCAATGTAAAATTCCAGAATTTTGTTGTTTGAAAATTTTAAATTCAAAATGTTGACTAAATAGATCCATAGATTAGACTTGAATATCTTTTTAAAATGAAATGGACAGTCAATCATCTTTGCTTTTCCTGACTTAACTGTATGTTCTGGGCAGTTTTCTCTGCAGGGGAGAAAATGAGTGAAGTGAAAGAGGTCTGCCCTCCCACAGCTCACTGCCTCTTGGAAGAGGCTCATGGCCCAATTGTATAATTTGGTTTCTTCATTTGTGGCCCAAGTCATTAAGGAATTCTTTTTCCATTCTTTTTTTTATTATTATTAGTTATTTTATTGGGGGGCTCTTACAAATCTTATGACAATCCATCATTCAATTGTATTAAGCAAACTTGCACATATGTTGCCATTAACACTTCCAAAACATTTTCTTTCCATTCGAACCCCTGGCATCAGCTCCTCTTTTTTCCTCCCTCCCTCCCCACCTCTTCCACCCTCTTGAATCCTTGATCAGTTATACACTGTTGTTATTTCATGTCTTACACTGTCTCCCTTCACCTACACTTCTGTTATTTGTCCCCCTGGGGGACGGGCTAACCACCTTGTGATGGGTTCCCCTTTTCTCTCCCCTCCCCTGCCCCACCTCCACCATCCCCCCTCCCCTCATGATATCGCTGTTCCCACTACTGTTCCTGAGGATTTTATCTGTCCTGAATTCCATGTGTTGAGAGTTCTTTATCTGGTCTAGCCAGATTTGTAAGGTAGAACTGGGTCATGGTAGTGGGGTGTGGGGGAAAGCCTTTAGGCACTAGAGAAATGATGTGTGTTTCCTTGGTGCCATACTGCACCCTGGTTGAATTCTCCCATCCTTGTAACCCTTCTGTGGGGGGATGTCCAATTGTTTACAGATTGGCTTTGGGTCTCCACTCCATACCCCCTCATTCACAGCGATATAATTATTTGTTTTGGACCTTTTGATACCTGATCCTGTCGACACCTCATGATCACATAGGTTGGTGTGCTTCTTTCATGAGGGCTTATTTGCTTTCCTGCTAGATGGCTGCCTGATTAACATCAGTCCTTTAAGACCCCAGACACTGTATCTTTTGATAGCCGGGAACCATACACTTTGGTCACCACAGTTGCTTATGCACCCGCTTTGTCTTCAGTGTTCGTGTCAGGAAGGTGAGCGTCAAAGAGTGCCAGGTTAGTAGACAAAGTGTTCTTGTGTTTAGGGAGGCCTTGAGTGCAGGTCCAAAGTCTATCTGCTATCGTAATACTTAACATAAATACATATGCATTGGCCTCTATCCTTTTCCTTATAAGATAATATATACACACATATACATACATAGGTATAGCCTATAGCTATACTTCTATAAATAGCTTTTGCTTCCTACTTCTTTCCTCTATTTCATTAAGAAATTTCTTGAGGTGGTCTTGCATGAGTGAATTTTATTCAACAGAGCAGGAGACATAGCTGAATAGAATAGAACATATCTGAGTCGAAAGAGCGAAGCTTGCTGAGTATTGATAAATACCTGACCTCAGATCTAAGAGTCTGTTGATTGTATGGTGCATCCTTATTTCATATCTGAGAGTAAGTAAAGTATTGCTACAAAGCGGTAGAAAGTATTAAAAACAAAAAATGTGACGCTATTGCTTCTTAAGTGCCCTCCTGAAGGTGGTATTTCCCTCCCTCTACCCCCCCACCACTCTCCCTGCCCCACCCCTCAAGAATTCTGTGCTCTTCAGTTTACGTTGGGTCAAAATGACAGTTTTGATATCTTCAAGGGACTCAAAATGTGTTCCTTGTCGGTGTTCTCTGAGTTTGGGGAGCAAAAGAAGGTTGAAGGAGCAAGTTCAGGCCTGGAAGGTAGATGGGGGCAAGATTTTCCAACAGAATTTTTACAAGACTGCCCTGGATTTCCTTGAATGAGCAGATGCAGTGTCGTGATGGGGAAAAACATTTCTCATCGGAACTCCTCCCCTTACCACCCCCACCTCCCATGTAGTTTTTCATTTCCTTAAGACTTCTAATAAGCCCTCAATTGAGCTCATCCAGTGTCTTTCGACAAAATCAATCAGGATTGCCCCGTCATGATCCCCCAAATGGTCTCTGTAACTTTCTGAGCTGACCTCCCTGCCTTGGCTTTCACTGGCCCAGCAGATCTCCTTGGAAGCCACTGTTTGGATTGGACTCTTTTTTGGAAGCATTCTAATGAGACTAAGATAAGTCTTTGAGAAAAGTTTGTCTGAAGCCATCCAGTGATCCCAGAGACACGTTTCAACCTGTTTTATTTGGAATAAACCCATCATGTATGAATCCTCGGGGCAGTGCTTTTTGACTGACCCTCATTCCACTAGTTAAAAAAACAAACCTTAAGCAACGAGTTGTGGTGTACCATCAGTTGTAGGCTATGTCCTGATTTCACAGGCGCTGGAAAATAATGGGGCAGGGAGGGGAAGATTTATGTTCTAACCAATCAAAGCAGGGTGGTAGGTTGGAGGATATTTTGTAATGCCATTACTGATAGGAAGAGAAATTGGCTGAGACAAAACTTGATCTTTTTTTTTTTTAATGATATTCAACTTTATTTTATTTTATTTTTTAAAACATTTTATTAGGGGCTCATACGACTGTTATTGCAATCCATACACACATCAATTGTGTAAAGC